TAGGTTTTGCCATTTCAAAATCAGATGCTGACGCAGCAGGTTTGCTGATGCGATCATGCGTTTTTGCATGATTTCAAAATCTGCAGAAAACGCCTGTACTACAAGGGTGTGGCTGCGATGCTGCAAATTGTACAGTTGTTGCGCCTGCACACAGAGCCCAAGCTTAGGCAGAAGCCCATCTTATGCCTGGCTGACACAACAACAGCAAACACACTCATGCTCGGTACATTAACTGCAAATATTCTCAGGAAAAATACTGCTTTCTGCTCGGTCTTACGCCAACAACCAGAGAACTAAACATTCAATTGCGCGCATACGAGTCCGAGGCTTGCTTTAAAGCTAAACTTTACCTAGCTCGCACACTGACATAGAATGTCTTCGTGAAGTTTCAGACCCTCAGCATGTTGGCGAAATCAATTATCATTACAAATATCTGTGGTTTATCTGAATATGTGACTCATTTAACGCATGCACGCATGAAAAACGAATACTCTGCAAAGTTAGAGGGTTTTAAACAACTTAGTTCCCTGGCTGGCGATTTGCCAACGACACCTCGTAGTTTAAAATCCGACGAGTCTATGCACCAACATAGGTGTGCGCTAAAGCTGAATTTGAATTCTTTAGTTTAAGAATATGAAAAATCACTGTAAAATTTCACCTTCCTATTTTGTCTGATTTCGAAATCGCTCCTCCGTCAAAAAATATGCATGAATTTTTTTACACGTCTGTACTTGAGACCGAGAAGTATATGACGTTGGTTTTATAGCACGTCGACTATGAACATCCCTGTGGAACTCTAGTTTCTGTGGTTGCCGACTCTAGCTTCTGTGGTTGCCAAGAATGCGAATGGCAAAAATCCAAACACACACACCCATGCACAAACACACACACAGCGATATACTCTTGCCAGAATTATGCACTTTTGCATTTATAATAAATTGCGAAGCGCACCAGGGTAGCCGGTGCGGTCATACATTTTGCGCAATTCCATTCAGCGGGCGTTTGCTTGCTAAAAATATAACTGTTTTACATTTTCGAATACGGAAAAACAATAGATATGTTGTTTGGCTTTTAAGGTGAGGAATTTCTCACTGAAAATTTCATCTGCCGGTACGTGAAAGCTGGATCTGAAAATATGGATGGGAGACATCCCTCCAAATTTCAACTTTGTAATTTTTCGGTTTCCAAGCTAGCGACTTTCGCACCACAATTCTCACGTGGTGTTACTTAAGACCTCTGTGTACTTGGGAGATATATTTGAGTTTGTGAGATATTTGCAATGGCAGAAAATATTGTCCTGAAATCTCAGCTTTCCAACTTTCATGTCCCCGAGATAATTTTCCGCAAAAAACTTCCAGAAGGCCATACGCGATACCCAAGCGCATAGTAAAACTGAATTTAAATTTTCTGGGTTACACTGGTCAAGGGACATATCCATAAAATTTTAACGCCCTAGCCTTCGCAGTTTCTGAGATAATGATTTTACCCGCTAAAAATTTATGAGGCCGTGCGTGTTACCCCCAGGCACGGGAAGGGTGAGTTTAAGTTCTCTGGGTCGTACTTGGTTAGGGAACATATTCATAAAATTTCAGCTCACCAAGCTTCCGTAGTTACCGAGATAGAGATTTTACCCGAAAAACTTTTACGGTGCCGTACTTGCAACACGCGAGTACAGGAAGGTTGATTTTGAGTTTTCTAGATCTCACATAATCAAGGGGCATACCCACAAAATTTCAGCTTCCTAGCTTCTGTGGTTCCTGAGATACTGATTTTACGCAAAAAACTTTTACGGGGCGTACTTGTTACCCGCGGGTACGGAAAGGCTGAATTCAAATCTGCCGCGTCATCCGTTGGTGGGGAACACTATACTAAAAATTCAGCCGCCTAGCTTTTGTGGTCCCCGAGTTGAAAGTGTGGGACACACACAGACACGCACACACACAAACGCACATGCACACACGCACATGCACACGCACACAAACACATACACAAACACATACACAAACACACACACACAAACACACACACACACAAACACACAGACAACCGCATGACAATACGCGTTTTGTACTGCCGTTACACAGCAAAAAAAGCATGAAAATATGCAAAAACACACAAAAATTGCAAAAATGAAGTCGTAACTCACCTCACTGCCTCCCCAGTCCTGGTACTTATCAATCAACTCCTGTAGTGATTGCGCTAAGTCATGATTGGCAAACTGGACAGCGCTGGAACTGCAAAAGTAGCACGGTCTTATGACCAAATTCGATTGAAATAACGAACATCAGCTTCCAGAAAGAAATGCCTTCCTCGATAAATAAAATTTGAACAATTTTTTGAAAAAATGCTGTCAAAGGGAGAAAACTAAGCGCCACTTTTTA